CCAATGTAAAAATGCAGCTAAATGACAGGTGAGAAATTTTAAGAATCTTTTTCCTCTTTTCTAAGGAAATAGTCAATTTTTAGATATTTGTTTTTGTGACACAGCAAAGCAAAATCAGGTCATGGGAAAATAAATTAATCGTGGTCTTAGTTTTGTTTGGTGCAGTTGCTGAACACTTACAGAGCTTTATTTCTCAGAGTATCAGTAAAGATGTTCTTGAAGCACTGGAGCCTACTTTGGACAGATCAGTGCTCACATTTTGACGGCATTCTCAAAAAGGGGTAAGAAAAAGCTACAGTTGTACTAACCTTGGTACTGGGTAGGGGTACTCAGCCTATCACCACATTAAAATGGGGAGGTAGAGATGTACACTATACCATTGCCTGATCTGGAACTAACTTGACATAAGTTTTATGAAACTGTCAAGTAATTTTAAAATACTTCAGCAGCTTAGACTACTTATTTACTTCAAACAAACCTGACACAAAGAATAATAATAAAATGTATTATCAATTACAGAGCACAGGAATTTTAACACACAATCAACAGAATATTATTCAAAAAGTATTTGTACACTGTCAGCAATATCCCCAGTTAAATTGATTTTTTTTTTCTTAATTCATCAGAGCTTCTCTTGTAAGCAGAGTACTGACTACCCAAGCCCTAAATTGTGACTTTCCTTTCTAAAAGTTTTTTGCTATGTCTTTCATGTATCAGACTCTTACATAGACTGGAAATCAACTCATCACTTTATGCTTTGAAGCACTTGATAATACTGAGGTTTTGATAATGACAGTTTTACCTGCCCTAAATCATAGTTGTGTTATTTGTAAGGACAGGAGGTTTTAACATGTATTAACTTGTAAAGCATAAAAAACCAAACAAACAAACAAACAAACAAAACCCAAACCAAACCAAACCAAACCAAAAAAAACAACCCACAACCAAAAAACCCCAAACCTAGGTAGAAAAGAATTATTTCCTCTTTTTGCTAGAAATTATAGCTTGGTACACCTAAGTCAACATATACCAGTACCTTATTTACTCTTCTGTGTAAAGAGGAACGTGGCAAGCTAAGGAGACAGAAGCAATTTGCTTGCAAGCATTTTTGAAAGGCTAGCTGAAGAACACCAGGGTATCCCAGGGAACTGACAAGATGAGTGCTATTTAAAAGTTGTAAAGAAATAGACCTAAGTAATGATGACCACATCTAGTCGATTCAGACAAAATAATAAATCATCTAATAATGGATTAAACTGGGAAATAGATATGTAACAACATTATTATCAGCTTATGGAAAACAGTTGCTGTCAAACTAACTTGGGTTTGGGTTTTTTTGGATTACAAATTTGCTTGATATGGGTAGCTGATAAATACATTTTGAGAGGGAAGCAATGTGATTCTGTAATCTGACCTCCTGCCTAGCACAGTCCATACTACATCTAGGCTGAAGTCCAATCATTGTTGCTGGACATATGTTTCAGAAAAATGTCCTATATTTATTTTCAAATGGCCAAATACTGAGAATTCTTATAAGCCAGGATAACTTGCGTCAGTGGTTGATTTCCTGGCAAGTTAAAGTCTATGTGTGGTATTCATATTTGCTGGGTTTCAGTTTCTCGACAATGAAAGCTTAAATCCCAAAACAGACTTTAAGATCTAAGACTCCCTCGTTATCAAATTTCCACTCCCATGGATGCCACAAGATTATAGGTACATATATAAGGCAATCATAACCTGCACTTTTGTAGGGTTCTTGTGACTCTTTTGAACATACTAATAGTTTTTTCAGCAGCTTTCTTGAAGTTTAGATATCAAAATGGTGTGTTACATTTCAGTTTTAGTTATGCAGGTGTCAAAAGGAGAAGAAAAACATACACTACACTCTTGTTTTCTGTTTATAGTTCCAAAGATTGTATTAGTTTTCTTGGGCCTGGCATCACGATGCATTCTCATGTTCAGCTGATAAGCCATATGAACCCTTATGTTTTTCAGATACACTGTTTCTCAGGTGGAAATTCCTTCACTCTCTACATGTATGTATTGATATGCAACTGTTATGGAACATAGTGAATATGCTTACATCTTGTTTATCAAAACACTTTGTCCCAGATGTAAATTAGGTGGGGTTGAGGTAGGATGAAGTCCTGTGCTGAGATTTTTACACACACAAGGTGTTAGCAGACAGAAAAAGGCAAATTTTTGCCTCTGTCTGCAAAGACAGGAAACGGAATTCTTTGATGCAGAATTTATTTAGATCCATTTTCACATTTTTTTCAGTCTCTTAATGACTTTCAAACTTCTGAATTTCTCATGAACAAACATTAATTGTACATTAAAAACACAATGTAAGTAAGTTGGTTTTCCAGATCAGTCAAGAGTTTGCTTTCGTTACTCACCACTAAAGTGGGGGTGAGGTGGGAGGAGGATGTCCTGTTACGCTGTTCTGCACGGAGCAAATAATGCCCCTTAGTGGAGACAGGATGCCAGGCTATAAGGGGTTTGGTCTGATCAAGTGAAGCAGTCAATACTTAAGTATATTACTTATATAATAACCGTACAGTATACGAGGAGTTGTGTCTGTCCTAGATTGTCTTGTAAAGTTCTACAGATTGACCTCCAAGCATTCAAGTCAGTATTTCAAAAATATTGCTGTTGATATCAAATGCTTCAAAAATTTCCGGGAGAAGCTTTTGTGATGCAAAATTTGCCACAAGCCTTTTTCCTCAGAAGTCGAAGGAGGGCAAATAAAACAAAAGCAGGGCAGGGACATAGGGTTAGTATCCTGTGGTAACAAACACAAATGACTTAGGCTTCAGAAAGAGATGAAATCTCTTAGTGTTCACTGCCACAATCACAGAATAGAATGTAGCACGTTAGACTAAACAATAATCAATTAACGAATCCTCTGCCTCTAATTTCTAAGTTCAAATTTGTCCTCTACTCATTGTGATCTCTCACACACAGAAAAAAAAAAGATTATACTTGGTTCAACTGTATAGGCTTCTACTGTAGACTGATCACAACAACCATCCACCTTCTAAAACAATAGTGTAATTCCAAGTGGCAGTGGTGGCACATGCAGCTTTCAGCCACTCATTCCCACTACTATTACTCATTGCAGCTGTGCCAAAGAAAATCCTTGCTAAACAGTAAAATCTGTTGGAAAATCGATCTCTGGATTAATCTTTTTACCCTATTTTTTCTTGCTGGATTATTTTTAATCCAGACTCAGTGAATTTTGTGACTATTAAAAAAAATGTTATGAATTAACCCACCCCAAACCCTAATGCCAAAAACATCAAAATCCCCCATACTGAACAAAAGTGGTAGGGATGAACAGACACAAGGACAAGTTTTCATAGTGATAGTCAAAACAAGCCAAGAAGATAACAGGCCTTCAAAAAGTGCATGTTACTAACATCCTTCCTGGCAGAACTGTCCAGTCATTAGAGTGCCTCTTCTTTTTTTTTTATGATTAAAAAAAAAAATCTGTTTAACTTAATAACAGATAAAACTAGTCCATGTATATTCTCAATACATTTTTTTTTTCTTGTCTATCATTCTGCCACAAAAATATTTGCTGCAATAGAAGACAGCTATCAGTTTGTACTTGGCTTCACAGAATTTGTAGTCTGTGGAGAAACACATGACAAATTTTAAAAGGCCATACACATGCATAAACCATTCTGTAAAGTCAAGCACAACTATCATATCATGTACAGGAGGGAAACAAATACATGAGTAGCATTAAAAAGCTCACACCATTGCTTTGCTTTTGACAGTATGCCCAGCCTGAAACCCTGTCCCTAGTTTACCAGATTTAAATTGGCATGCACCCCTCTTATCCCATTATTCATTCCGATTGGGAGATGTGGATCATTAAGCTGGGTACTAATTTGTTCCTAAACTGCACTCATTCATCATTGGTTGGCAGTGAGAGGTTGATCAAGTCAGTTGTGGAACATTTCTGTGACCCCACGAATTGTATATTTTCTGCATGAGCTACTTAAGAAATTCTCTAGAAGTTATTTTAACAGTTTTAATAGCCATTTTAAGTGTGATGATTTCTGTGGTCAGGTCACAGAGGTATCTCTGTCATATTCAGAAATTTTCTACTCAGGATCTATATGTTTGGTATCATCTTCTGTATTGTGTATAAAGGGTATTTGTGGACTGTTTCTACAAAGACATATCTGATGGACTATTACCACAAATCATGACAGAATCTGGTATTGCACGGAATTATGTCTCTTCACTGGGGACAAACATAGTTGTCAGTAAGGGTTAGCTAGATTGTGTGTGAGTTGGGGGATTGCTCTGAGATTCATGTAATAGCTAAAAGATGCCCGTATTTTCTTCTGACTTGAGCTTCTTTCTATGAACAATTTTAAATATTATAGCCTAATCCATGTGCAGTAACATAACTTGTGTCCCAGATAATTTTTCATGATGAAGAGAGGATATTCTCAGTAACAATTTGGTGGATGAAGAACTACTAAAGTCTATAGTATGAATCACCATCGTGTTTTGTGCCAGCTATGTTTTTATAAATGTCTATTGTATACAAATATTTTTCACAAAATGTATGGGTATGAAAACATTACAACAGACTGAGAATTAAACATATTTTCAATGCATAAACTACTCAACATTCTAGTTAAGGAAACTTCTGTAATGGAAAATTTACAGACACTATTTTTTGCCTTCTCATAGACCTCTGGGGTTTTTGCCAGCTTATAATAATTTGTAAAAATATTAGCATAATACAAGTTAGAGAGAGGAACAACACAAGAAATTACCCCATTTATCCACAAATCAAATTATTTTACTAGAAGACACATAAAATGCTTATCAACTCTTAATATAGTTGTATTTTTTGTTTAATAACTAAAAGAAAACATATGTTGGGGTTTTTTTTCCCATGGTATAGAACCCTAAGAAAGAAACAGACAAATGTTCAGGTCTGTGTATTAAAATGTACCAAATCAGTGAATTACCTGATTTTTCAGAGGGGAGAGAAATGCTGGCTTTTGTAGGATCCAGAATAACAGCCAACCCTGTAGAGAGTGATGGTAGGATGCTGGTACTGAGATCTATGCGAGTTAGACTTTCAGGTTCTCTGTCCAAGGCTTTTAGAATACCTCCAGCACCGTTATCTTCTGTCTCATCCTTGTTCTGACTGTTCTTCTGTGGACTCTGAACAATATGAACGATACTCTGCTGGGCCAGGTCACAGTTCTGCAACACAAAACCAAAATTCCAATAAATAATTAATTGTGACATAAGGGACAAAATCCCTCCATCTCATCTCCTATTTGTAACTTGTTAAATGCCAAGCCATTTTCTGTAGAATTTCAGTCTGAGGTAATGGAGTTTAAAGCAAAGTGACAAGTGTAAATTGCTGGAATTAGGACTACTTGCATTGGCAAAAGGGTCACAACACTTACAAATTCTAAACATTTAACAGGGAAATGGTGGATCAGAGCCAACAGTTCTAAATAAGTCTGGTTTATTGGCACAAAGGAAAAAATCTAGAGGGAGCACTACTAAATCAAGTGCTAAGAATATTCAATACTTAATATGCATTTGCACAGATAATGCTGATACACACTCTTCATGTAGCAATTTAGGATGAAATCTGACAATCACAGAGTTCATGACCAAGCTACTCCAACGTATCTTTGTAAACAGAAACAGGGAAAATGATGCTACTGATGAAGATTGATACTTACTTCTTGTCCCTAATGTAATTTTTAATCTAAATCTGGCTTTAGATGTAGACTCGGTATGAGTTTCCTATTCTTTCCAAAGATGAAATTTAACTGTTGACTTCAGCACTAGAGAAAGTTCGTGGAAGATCTCATGACTGCTATAGTCTTTGCTGGTGAAACAAAAGGATTGCTACCCCAAGAGGTCTCACATATATGTAAGTACATCCCCTGTCTCAATTCTTATCAGGGGTGATTCTTAAGCAGTCTTTCCAGATCTTGTGCCTTAGAAAAAAGCAGGCTGAATAAGGATCCTATGCAAGGTTTATCAATCAGGATAGAATTCACATTTTGTTCAGCATTTTCCTAATACAGAATAGAAAAATAAAGTATTGCCTTAGAACTAGAATTACAGAGATTTTAGATGACCTATCATTAATGAAGGGCTTTCAAGAAAGACTTCTATTGATCTTTCCACAGCACACCTTGCAATAAAAATTGTTCTTTTTTGGGTGATAACTCCTGGAGATCCACACCTAGGTCTCCAGTGTCATGAACGCACAAACATCAACCTACACACAAAGTCTGAGTTCCTTTCAAGAAAATAATTTTCTAACTCTTCGCAAAATCATTAGGTTGGCCATGTCTGACCTGAAATGTCAAGACAGACTTCTGATTATATTTGGAAAGAACAGAAAGAGAATCCAGAAGCATTTGTCTCAGTACACAATATTTAACATTTTTTTGTTTGTATTTGCAATATTATGTACACCTTTAATTGCAAAGGATTCCTTCACAGATATTTTAGTGCTGTTTATATCTTTGTTATTATCTCATTCGCTGTCTTCTAACACTTTTTCTCCTCTGGTCTCATTTCTGTTTAGTGGTTTTCTTTCATTCTCTTGCATTATTTCTCAGTACTTCCTCCTCCACTCTTTCTTTCTTATACAGCGCAGTTCCAATAGACAAAATCTGTTTGATGGTAGTTGGCTTTTTTTTTTTTTTAATTGAATTTTTAATTACACACTCCCTCTTTAGTGAAGTAGTAATCAGCCAGTGGAGATTTGTCAGAGCAAGGACAACGCAGTCTTAATATTCAAACCAAGCAGTTCTTAGATTTCAACTTTAAAACATTATGTTGACATTAAAGGTCTCTTTTTTTTTTTTTTTGTACAACTTGTTTCCCATAACATTTTAACAAGATCCATTTAAATAGCCTAATAATTTCATCCATTAACACAAAATCCAAAACATGGCTGTCACTCTAAAATTTCTCCAACTAAGAATACTGCATAGCATTAAAGAAATTAATAACCTAAGTGAAAATAATAATAATGAAATTAATAACCTAGGCAAATGAGGAGCTCAGAAGTGATTTGCTCAGTTACAGCTAGAATTACAAAGGGAAATATGTATATATATGTAAAAGCTCACAACCTTGGAAACCCCTAATGAACTGTCAGTCAGTCCAGGCATGTTTTAATGAGCATCTCTTCTGGAAGTTTTGCTTCCTCAAGCAGCCCCTGTCCTGCCTTTTATTTTTTCTCACCATCTAGTATCCTTCTCAATTTGTTTCTTTTTAAAGGTTGCATCAGTTTCCTGGTTCAGTTCACAGTTTGATGCTGTGCTACAGTCACACTGAAGGGATGGTGCGTAAGACAGAATAAGAGGGATGGCAAGGTCTGCTTGAATCAAAGGAAACGTCCCCACAAAACCACCACTTTTTCAACCACACTTGCTTGATCTTGACTGCTGTACACATTTAGATGCATGGTTTAAATTGATAAAGTATAAAAATGTATATATGTTCCTTTCCAGTTCCTTTTGCAGGCTGGAGGGTATGTGGTTAGCTTAGAAACAAGGGAAGGGCTGACAAAATAGAGCCCCATCTTATTTACTATTCTCTCCCCAGTAATGTCAAGCACTACATACTTCAAAAAAAGATGTAAAATTTGCACTTTGGGCAATTATACATACGTATGACCATAGCATTAGCGTATTCCTGTATTTCACTTAATAAAATTTTCATTTTAAAAGGGCAGGTTACTTATCTTTCTTGCATCTCTTTATCGAAAACAAGAACAAACTCTGGAACACCAAACATCACTACTGATGATGATAATGTAAGTCATAGACACAGGAAAGGTTAATTAGCAGATCCCAGGATAACTTTTCAAAGATAGCAGCTAGGAAAAAGCCACACCTTTTGATTTGTACACTGAATATATCTGATATGGAAGTCACTGAGCACTAATAAACATGGAATACCAAATCATCAGGTTGTAATGATGTTTCTGACTACATTTTAATAGAATTTGGCTTGTGTTTAAAGGAGGAAAGTAATTCTCAACATTTGCAAGAAAAGTGAAAAGAGACTACATGGGGAAAAAAAAAAAAAAAAAAAGGGCTAGGTCTGCAGCTTTCTTCTCTGAGAAAAGAGGTAGAATTCAAACTATTTCTGTAAATATTTAAGTTTTGCCTTAGGTCACTATTGTAACACAAATCTGAGAAACAATTGTTTATGTCAATGTCACTTTCATTTTCTTCATGTATTTGTTTTGTGCCTCAGGAAACATTTCTTTGGAGAATATCTATTATTAATGATTGTAGAGATATTGCCTTGTTTTATCTGTTGATCCAAATTAATGCCTGTGATCCATATTCCACAGGGAAATACTGCAAGTGTATATACTGTAAATTATGAAATCTCCTTGCACTAGAGCAAAGGGAGCTTGAGAAGATTCAGAAGTGATGAAACCTGATATCAAGGACCAGTTCTTTACAGAGAATGGGTTTTGGCAAACTTGGAAAAATGAATTCTTTTTTTTTTTTTTTTTTTTTAATTCAAACCTTTTGCTTTCATATTTTTTTCAGAATTCTCAAGTTGAATTTCACAAGGCTGAATCAGCATATCCCAAGTGAATAAAACAATATCCTTTGGTGTTGTCAGCTGTGGGCTAACTAGAAGGTCACTTTGGGAGATTAAGCTACATTATGAATAGGGAAAAAATGACTGTTTCAGTAATTCTGAAATCCTTTTGTTCTGACAGATTTCTGCTTGATATTTTCTTGACCACATATTTTGATAGTAACATCAATACTGATAGAAGTGTTCTCCATCTAAGAAATATATAGCCCACTACAGAAGTCAAATTATATTTTCTGAAGTGCAATACACTTTATTTTGAAATGATTTAATTAAAGAAACAAAGGAGTGGAAAATAGGATCTAGGAATGATCAACAAGAATCAAAACGTTGGCTTTCCACTTACACTTTTTCTTAACCGTGCTGCAGTTGTATATCAGATGAGAAAATAAGGGGAACATTTTTGTCTCATTAATCTCCATAATTAAAAGCTCTCAAGACTACCTATAGCAAAATACACCTCTTAAAACCAATATGACCCATGTAAAAGTACAGATGACACACCAACTTTATTGGAAAAATCTTTTTCCATGGATAGTGTAAAGATACATTAAAGATGACCTGAACAGAAAAATAAATCCACCAAACCTCACTCTACTATTGTAACTCTCTCACAGTCCAAGGACAGAGACCAAGTCTCAAAAGCAGCAGACACGAAAGAAAATCAATTGGAAGAACATCAACTCTACTTTCATTCCCTGATCACAGACCAATGACTCAAAAAGCAAGAAGGAAGCAACAACAAAAAAAATCCTTTACTACATAGGGGGCAAATGCTGAAATATTAATGAACTTGAAAGTAGAGATTACATAAAATATATATATAAAAAAAACCCAGGTATAGTATAAACATTCTGTTGAGCCATGATAGTCCAAGAAATGGGAAGCAAGATTCACAAGAAGACAACATGGTTTATTTAATCAGCTGATAGAGAAAGTAAAACCAAACTTTTGGGGTCAGAGACTCTTCCATAGGTCATGGCAAGGGGAAATCTGAAGGGAAAATTAACCACTGTTAAAATAATGAAGCAAATCAGCACCCTGATCTAATAACACCACTCATTTGTGTGAATTCTGTCTGCTGAGTGGTAGTGAACTTAATATTGCTCCACGTGGGGCAAGGGAAAAAAGCCAGTGGGCCTAAATAACACACAACACTTAGCAGTTAAATTCCAGCAATCAGAAACTTACTACTTGCTATTTTATGATTCTGTGGAACACATCTATATTTGATTTCAGTTCACCTTTTCAACATTTTCAGAGTTATACATTACTGTACTTGTTTAGTATTCAGAATACTGAGGGTGCTAAGCAACGCCTAGAAATAGAAGGAAAAATAGATGTATTATTGAAAGCACCACATATTCAAATAAATGTGATGAAAAGGCAGAAAACCCTTCACTTAGCAGAATATTTGTACCCTAATTTTTATAATCTCTTTCTATTCAGTTCTTGTAGTAGTTTAAATATTGACCATGCCAAAGAAATAGAATAAAAGGAAAGATATAAAAAATGTTCTATGGAAAAGTATTCATTGCTTTCTAAATCCAAAACCTAATATCATTTTAAGGACTACTATTAGAGTTCCAAAGACAGACTATTGC